TATTTCACCTTTTTTTCAAATGCACTACATCTTTAAGTTTCTTGGGACACCACTCACGATCATCAACCTGTTCTACAATACTTAGGAATTTGAAATATTCTGGAGCTCCTCTGATCCAGGTGTTGACTTTGGCTGTAACCCCTTTCCAGGTGGGGGAGTAACTGGGTCTGTGGACTGGGGAAAGCAATTTTGCTGATTCACCATGTAGAAGGATAGGATTGTTATGTTTAAGTTTCACTGTTTCATAGTAGTTTACACCATCAGTGGAGTAACTCAATTTATACACACAAAATTAATATAGTGATTGAGTACTGTATATAGGCCTACACTAATATGAACAATTCCACAAGGGCCGTGATGAGGGTTCGAACCTATGCACAGGACGTTCCCAGATGCACCTTAGTCAACTGTACCGTGACATGGTAAAGTCAGGTTCGAACCCTCATCACAGCCCTTGTGGATTTGGATTTGTTCATTTGATATATCACGTTATTGTGATTTCTGTGTCTACACTAATATATATGCCTATATTGCAAGTAAATCTGCTCCTGGCACAGCTCAAGGAATGTCTTACAACCTACTTACTTCTTTGCTGCTATTCTGTCTGGCAATGTCATCCAGAAATAAATTTAAACACACAGAAAAGGCCAAATTTTGACTTAAAGAAAACCATAAGCCACTGCACAGTAAGCAATTAAATACAATAGCAGAATTTTTCCTGGGTCTAAGGTTAACTCCATAACATTCATATATAGTAGATGTATTATAACCACATTTATATCATTTGCATAAAGATCAGGCAATAATAACTAAAAATTAACATATGGTAACAACATTACCCTTGAGATTAACGTATGATGATAACCACCCTTTAGCCCCCTAACGTGCAGCAATGAATTTGCATGCATGTCCATCTATGCGAAAAAATTAATACTTTTTTCTTTATAGAACCTGGATGGAATTTGGATGAAAAAGTATGGAAACGTAGAAATAAATGAATATCTACACTCATTTTGTGTAGTGAACAAGGTCCAACTACTGCACTATGAAAATTTTTTAATATCAAAACAGAAATCACATATCAAATGCAGTCAAATAAAACTACTGTAATGAAAGAAAAAGAAATATAACAGATTTGGAAGTAGTCATGTGGGAAGACCTTACTTTTAACGAACACAATAAAGTAGCTATCACAACTGCAAGAATATCGACAAATTGGATAACAAGAACCTTTCAAACAAGATATTCCATACATTCCATACAGACTAAGGCACGTCTGGAATCATCCCAGACGTAGGTTCGAACCCTCATCATGGCCCTTGTGGATTTGTTCATTCCATGCATATAATTATACTTTTTAAGAAATAAGTGTTCTCTAGGACTGAATATTGTTGCACACTAACAGCCCCTTTTAAAACTGGAGAATGTGGAAAGGTCTTTTGCTGCCTAAATCCACTCAATAAAACATCTCAATTACATGGACCCTTTAAAAATATTAAACCTGTATTGTCTAGAACATAGACGAGAGAGATGCATGATAATTTACACCCTGAAAATATTAGAGAGACTGGTTCAAAATCTGCAAATGAAAATAAATCCACATGAAACCAGAATTCATAGCAGGATGTGCAAAATAGCTCCATTGAAATGCAAAGGTCCAATTGGTAAAGTGAGAGAGAACTCCATCAACAATCAAGTGCCCAAGACTTTTCAACACACTACCTCTACACATAAGGGGGGGCCTAACTGGTTGACTACTCTCATGGTGTTCAAGAGAGAACATGATAAATACCTCTAAAGAATACCCAATCAAAAAGGCTGTGAGCAACTGCATCCAACAACCTATATTTCATGAGACTTGGCTATGGAGACATTAATCCCTAGGACCAACTACAGATAGTCAACAATTATGTAGCACTCAAGCACCAGACTTTGTCACTCATTCAGTAGCTGAGCCAGATGACCATAGACATCTAGACTTGCATGTCTAGGCGATTGTTTTTATACTGCTATGTATGAATGAATGACTATACAGTACTGCATCAATAAAAACTAAGGAAATTGCATAAAGTCTATTGGCCCATACAAGTAACTCCTATTTATATCTCCCAACCACTTGGGCTGGACAGTTGAACGACGATCTCGCTTCATGCAGGTCAGGTGTTCAATCCACGACCATCCAAGTGGTTGGAAAGCACTCCTTTCCCCTGTCCCATCCAAAATCATTATCCTGACCCCTTCCCCTGATAATTCCCTTTCCTTCCTATTTATACCCACCCACAATAAATAGACCTGCTGGGCCAAACAAGGCAGCTCCTGTTTATTATCATGGACATAAAGAGGGACCAATAGGCCCAAATATGAAAGTGTTTTGGGATATATAAATAGAAGCCATCTTATTTTGGGCAACAGCCTTCTGCAGTTTCTTTATTATGTTCAAATGATGATCAGTAGACATGGTATATGTACTTTATAACAAAAATATAGTTGTGAAAACCATATGAACATAATAAGTACAGTATACATATCATGTAATTATAATGGAAAGTTATACCATTGTGATGATTATCGCAATGGCATAGTAACATTTTTCAACAATAATCGCATTTGCATAGTAAGGTAATCATGAAACAATAGCAGGATTTTGTTCATGAGTTACAGTAACTCCACTACATCTATCTAGAGCTGTTATCTCCACATCAGCATCACTGGTGCAAAACCCAGACAATAAAAGCTGAAATCAATGAATGATGACAACCACATTACCCCCATGAATCAATATATGACAATGACCAAGATAAAAATTATATGAAATATTATAGCAATCAAATATTGCCTGTTAGAAATGCTTGAAATTCCCTGTTGAAGTAACTCGTGCAGACCAGACTCTGTGAGCCAGGCTTGTGTTTCTGCCCTATCATGTGATACAAGGTGAAGCTCCATATCTCAAGTGTATTTTCTTTGATGATGTATTTTGTTTATCACAAACCTGACTAATATGAGTCAACAACATGTACTGCATAGAAGACATCAAATCAGCACCTTGATGCTAATAATCCAGGTTATGGTTTGATGCCTGAAGATTATATCTTTCAGAGTTAATAGCGACATGTGGGAATGTGAGGAGAACAAGGAGAAAATTTCACTACAAACTACAAAATCAAATTTCCTTATGTTAAAAAAAACTGGTGCCTTATAGTTGGGTAAATATGATATTTAGGTCAAAACATTCAATTGACATAAGTAAACCTGTAAATTTATTTAAAAACCAAATTGATTTGCAGTTGACCCAAGAACAGGGGCTGGGCTATACTGTATTGTTAATTATGTAACAAAAAAGAGAATGAATTTATATAGCTTTAAGAGTCTTTCATCATAGTTTTCACCCCTTTTTCTATGGGCTGATGACCCTTTCATCCAATGGAAACGGACAATGACAATGAATGGATGGATAGTCTATACACAACTCAAACTTTTAATTCAACATTATTATTAAAATTAATGTTGACATTTAGATGTCATTAGCTTCTGCATCCCATTTTTGTAATTTAGTTGCATCTGCATTATTGTTACATACCATAATCTCATCCTCCTTTTGTGTGGGTTGAATTACTGTAGAGTTCCTTCCACAGTAATTCCCTGTGGGAGGACAGTGATGGGGTAGCAGGTGGGAGGGTAGTGAGGGAGTAGCAGGTAGGGGGAGGGGTGGGGGCAGCAAGGGGTAGCAGGTGGGAAGGGTGGTGGGAAATGGGTGGGGTTGTGGTGCTAGTCATGAGGGATATTAACGCACAGGTGGTGTCAAAAGAAGGGAGGGGAGAGGAGTTGCAGTTTTATTTTCCTATGCTTTCAAGTTAATAATATGAGAAATTCTCAAGACATCAAATAGAAACCTCAAGGAAGAAAATAAATTATTCCTACCAGGGAAAACCTAAATATACCACTATTCGAAGGGATACACTTACTTTTTGCTGTGATATCGCATAGAATTAGGGAAAAAACACGACATGGAAGCAAAACTGAACAATTTCAAAGCAAAACTTCCTTTTATGACTTTAATTATTTAAAGTTTCAAGTAAATGAAACAATAGATTCTATAGTTCTTGTCTAGACAAGAAGAAACTCTTGGAAAACAAATATACAGTGGTACTGTGGATATGCACATTGCTGTCAATCAAGTTAAGCACGACTAGGTATGGCCAGTAAATAGATCGGTAACCACATGGATTAAACCTTACCCTTGGCAATGACCACCCCAACAAGCAACATGCCACCTGTATTCAACAGGGTGTACTCATACCCTTATTAAAGTATAAGGCAGTATTTAACAGTATTGTATGGTAATTTAGATACATGTATCCATATTTTGGAAGATGCTAAACATGAGTGATGAACAAAACAAAGCTTGAATATATGACATCAAGTAAACAAAACAAAAAACTTTGTTTCCACTTGCACAGATAAAGCAATTATAGTTATACAACATGAACTATGAGCAATTCCCAATACCATGACATTAAAGCAGTATTTAACTTGTACTATCATGTAAAACAATGTTTATGTTGTAATTTATTTACCATGTAAATTACAGAGAATAAGTCATAACAATGTGGCTGTAAACAAATAACCCAACCCAAACATATGAAATGAAATGAATCTGATGACATTTAGGTGTGTCCTAAACCCTTATCAAGATGTAACAGCAAGAGTAGGAGAGGGGGATCAATATAAGTGAAGAGGGAAGGTGAGGTGACAGGTGGTGAGGGATAAGTAGAGAATTAAAGAATGAAAACTGACCTAACACAATGTCTCCCACTCCCACTTGTTCGGTCACAAATTGAAAAAGTTCCCGGACATACTGCAACATCGTCAGTTTCATTTAATTTCATATCTGTGGGTTGGGTTATTTATCATACTGCATTTACTTTCCAGTGAAATAAATCCAGCCTCCTATATTTACAGGTGTTTCAAAAGAAAATTATACTAGTTTTGTATATGCCTACCTCAGTGATCTTTTTGGTGGCAATTGTTTTTCGTGTGCATTCTTCATCAAAACATCAAAGGCATTGTGATATGTCTTGTCGTCTTTTTTCTCAGAAACCGGTAGAGACTGCGGGCAGTCATATCTGCAGTGGATGAATTTCATGTTGAATGCATGGATGACTGTTAGCACTGACACGTTAATATCATTCAATGTCATCCAAGGACCACTTCTGCTTGTGAGCAAAGCAGACAATGGTATTCTTTATCCACAGTGACTGCTCCACAAATTCTCTATGTCAGAGCAGAAAATGTTTCTGCCATCTGGCACTGTGTGAAATTTTTTAATGCAGGGGCTTTCCCAATTTGACAGGCATTTTACAAATGACTCATGAAATTGCTTCACAAATTTATGTTTTTGTTGTATGGAATGCATTGTATTGGGCAACAACTCACTTCCAAACTTCGCCTGAAAAATCTTTAGTCCATAAGATTTTGGTATGGTCGGTGGGAAATCGGAAGTTAAGATTTTTTCAAAGGAATTAACTGAAAATAAATGATGTATTCCAAGCTTTGTTAAGAAATAACCATGGAATGGTTAGAAAAGCACCACACAACCTTTTCACAACAAATATGAAAATAATGTTGGTTTACAAGTTCCTGCAGGACATGCCAAATCAACCAGGTCATAACAGCTAAAAGTGAGCATGCAGGGCCACAAGCAGCAATAGCCTGGCTGATCAGGTGGTCATCAGGTAAGTTTGATATCAGGCCTGGCTGAGTAGAACAATTCTCACAACCAGTCACAGGTAAATATTCCAAGATGAATATTACAAGTCATGCAAGATAGACAATAAATTCCTAAACAATAGGTCAACTTATCAGGGTTCCAAATAATTACCAATAACTGAAGGGTCTGTGAAAACACACAACTCTCTTTCTTCTTTACAGAATAATGATATTGTATTTATAAAGCTGATAATGCTGTTAAATTTCTTCATCACATTTTGGTATGACTAAAGCAACTGTGATGGATGTGAAAATTTATGAGATGCATTATGGAGGAATCACAGCAGACAATGATATGAAAAGATAAAATCAATATATTCATATTTATAAGAAGCAAATGGGTAAATAAATAGGTCAGCGGAGGTAACGGAACGAACTAAACAAAGCAAAAATGAGGAAGGGATAATAAAAGGGGCCATCCAACAAGTGTCCGCATATTACTAGCTGGTTAGCTTACTGTAACACATTATCATGCATCAAGCCAGCACATCCTCAACTCTCCAATACCACAGCATGTACCAAACTTCACAAAACCAGCACAACTGCCTGGCCCCAGGCTGGGCTTGAAGAGAACAACCCCTAGAACCTACTCCAGGTATGGATAAACTGCAAGGCCACAGCATACCCTGGATCAGAATAGCCCTATTAATACCTCCCAGAAACAACACAAAATGATAAGTCCCCCTATATTTCCCACCATATAAGGCTTCAAATATAATTTAACAAAAAATGAACTTCTATTCATGAATGCTTGCAGCATTCATAGAAACTCATACTACAGATAAAATGAACAATGAAGTCCAAACACCAAATATCATTTAAATAGATGTGATAAGAGTAAACAGGTCAAATATAAGAATAGGTTTGTATATTAACCCTTAAAGAGCCATTTTTGTCATATGTTGATTTTAGTTACCATCACCCAGTTTCTATACAAATGATGTAAATGTGGTTGTAATATAAGATATAATGGAGTTAACCAAAAGTCATAACAAAATTCTGCTATCATTTTTTTAATTGCTTACTACTATGTGATGAGATAATTGTGCACTATTGCACTAATCATCAAATCACAATTTTTTTTTCCTGCTGGTGTCTGAATTTATTTCTGGACAATGTTCCCAGGCAGAACAGCAGCAAAGGAGAGGGTTGCAAGACACTTCCTTTGACCTTTAGCAAGGACAGGTTTATTTATTATATAGAACATATACATTATAGGCCTGCATACAGTACTCAAACACTGTCTTTATCGGTTATGTAAACATAAAACAAGTTATTAAACACACAAAACTAGCCTTGAATGTAAAGAAATGCCTCTTTCTAGTGGGTCCATGGTGGCTCGTTGTTAGCTACCTGGACAGCTCCACCCACTTAAATCCATGCCAGGGGCCTCGAGAGTCACTATAAGTCTACCAGGACCCAAAGGATAAAACCTGACCCCATTCTACAAAGCCAAGTCAAAACAGTCAGCCAGCTAAACAAATCCTAAAATACAAGACCTCAAATCAAGCACAAAGTGTTAGATCTCACTCTCCCATATAGTCACTAATAGGTAAGCACCTGTGAGCCGCCCAGTGGTTGCGTGCATAGCTTGTTGCTCTCTCAACTTGACAGCCGCAGCCATTTAACTAGGAAGACAAAAACCTTAGCTCCTGAAAAGGGAAGGGAGGGGGTTCAAGGAATCACCAAGAACCCACCAAAAAGTTGTTTCATTACAATGAATGATGGTTTTCTGGGAGGGCTACTATGTTGGCCCTTTGTTGTTGTCACCAGGGGTGGAGAGCTGTAGAAAGTAAGTCCCAAAGAAGGGGAAATTAATGATACAATAAATCCACCCAAAACCACACAAACCCAGTGCAGACCAGGAGCGTTTACCAAGGAATGATAAGCCATCGAACTACCAAAACCACAGTAGTCAATGATATTACCAGGAAACATTCATATGATATTACCAGGAAACATTCATGATATTACCAGGAAACATTAGAGGATAGAGCCCCTAACTTGTGCATAACATGTCTTTGGATAGACCACAGACTGGCTGAACAAAATGACACTCCAGACAATGTGAGATAAATGGGACCCAGAACAAGGGACCAGGTACACGAGACCCACAAATAGAGTCTTCTCCCGCACACCAGTAAAGGCACTTGGGTAATGGTGAACAGTGGCAACTGGACACAATAATTAACAAAGCATTAATTAATCATCCAAGAATCTCAGCCATTTCAACCTTAGCCAGAAAGGAAGGAAAGAGGTGGAAGAGAAGAAAATGACCCCAAGACCAAAAGAACTAAATAAGAGCCTAGAAGCCATCCTGGTCCAAAGGGGCAACAAAAAACCAAGGGGAGGGGAAGAAAATCCCCGAAACCCTGTCTAAAGATCAGGTAGGCTCAAAAGAATCATGAACAATCCTAAAGTGAAAAATGCCTATATGCAAAACTAACCCAACAAACATTGCACCAAATGCTGTTGTCACCATCAGTGGCACTGCCATGCCCGAATAATACAAGGCAACAGTAATCAAAGCAAGTACACACACACATCAAACCAGGTAAGAGAGGAAGGTGAGGAAGGGGAAATGGAAGAGGAACCCCCTTCCCCATGATGGAGATCCCCTCCAAGGAGGTGGAGCCTTGAATAGGCTCCACCTCCCAAGAAAGGAGCCTATTCAATAACACACACACACCACCATAACTGACATCACAGGTCCTACAGTGGACAAGTTAATCAACCCACAGGCAGTGTAATGGAGGTAGTAACAGATGGCCATCAGAATAAAGGAAGACCAACGGCAATCCCCCACAAACTCTTACCCTGTGAGGGCAGAATCAAAGGGCTGGTATATATATAAACACCCCTGAAAACTGCAAAGGGGATGCCAAGTCCCAAAGGACTGACCAAGCTTGAAACACTGGACAAAAGGGCTGCTCACCATATACCAATAACAAAAACAGTCTATGGGCATATGAGGCTGTCAAGGGTGAGCAGTGCACCATAACATGAGCACAGAACATCTCAAACTGCACCCATCCACAAAGCCATACAGAGAAGTATAAAACCTGTTCACTGCTACAGACGAGGCACTGTCCACAGGATGCTGGCATCTCAAACAGCAACTTTAACCCACCAGAGAAAATAACTGACTAGGTATGGTCAAGACCAGCGAATACCTAGAGATGACCACTCTAGGCACTAGCAGTTCATGGTGAACAGTTAAACAGTCACACACAAGAAGTGAAGCATAACAAACATGCATTGTAAAGCCCAATACTAAAATATAGACAAAACACACAAGCAGAACAGAACAGTGTCCAGGATGACTTAACACTTATTTGAGTAACCAAGGCTTGAAGAAATTATGGGAATTAGAATAGAAGGCTCACAAACCTAAGGCTGCCTAGTAGAAGGATTGACAAGTTAGGAACATGCCCCCTTGGTGGAGAGAAAGGTGTAAATAACAAGTGAACAGCTTCGCGCTCAGGTGTTTTGCTCAGTTCAGGGTTCATTCATTCTCTACAGCTTGTTTACCTTGCTGATTGTCAGTTTTGACTCGTCCACCTTAACTTTGTGGCCTTTCCTTTGTTAGGGTGATCTCATATCCCCCCCCCCCCTGCTCCTTGTGCCTCTATAAAGGGGGGTCAGGTTTTGGTGTCAGGTTCTTAGTAGGCTTATAATGACTCACAAGGGCCTAGTATGGATTGAACTGAGTAGAGCTATCCAGGTAGCTAGCAACAAGGAGCCACCATAGGAGCCCTTCCAAAAATACATGATGTAAACTAATAAATGAAGTAGACGGGAGCCTTGGTTACTCAAATAAGTGTTAAGTCATCCTGGACACTGTTTTGTTCTGCTTATGTGTTTGTCTATATTTTAGTGTTGGCTTTACAATGCATGTTTTTTATGCTTCACTTCTTGTGTGTGACTGTTTAACTGTTCACCATGAACTGCTAGTGCCTAGAGTGGTCATCTCTAGGTATTCGCTGGTCTTGACCATACCAGTCTCCATGGTGTAGTGGTAAGACACTCGCCTGGCGTTCCGCGAGCGCTTTGTCATGGGTTCGTATCCTGGCCGGGGAGGATTTACTGGGCGCAAATCCTTGACTGTAGCCTCTGTTTAACTCAACAGCAAAATGTGTACTTGGTTGTAAAAACGATTCTTCGCGGCGGGGATTGTATTCCAGGGACCTGCCCGACAAGCTACGCGTACTAGTGGCTGTACAAGAATGTAACAATTCTTGTATATATCTCAAAAAAATAAAAAAATCACGATCATAAACAACCATTAGCCTGATTAATCAAGCTCTCTCACCCTTACTTTGCAAGTCGGCAAGCTGCATTTCTAGTGGCAACGTAGTCATTCAATCTTCCACCAGCTACTGCGTACACCTTGCATAACCACAAAAGAACGATACTTTTTTGTTGCCCTTTTCTTACTTTTTACAATACAAATGAATAATTTATAAGAATTTTTTTTGTTGCATAAACCCTGTGGTCCTTTGATGATAAGCACTTTTAAGGGCTAAACAGAAACTTGCATTCACAAAACTTTAACTATACAAATGAGGTGGTGGTGGTACTTGGAATCGAAGTAGAGAACAAAAACCTTGTTATTATTCTAATATACAAATCTCCGTATGCAACAGTTAACTCAAAAAAACAATCAGCAAAACAGAAAATTCTCTCAATAATCTAGAAAATCCTTTGCCAGATTTCTTTCATGGAGACATGGATGAAGAAATAACTCAACACAAGTCGGAGAGCTCATTAAAATTTGTGACAAATGCTTGATCAACCAACAAATAACAGAGCCAACTAGCTAGGAAAATACTCTCAATTTGAAGTTTACTATCGTTGAAGGAATAATCAGAGACATTAGCTCTCTCAGACACCAGATACTCAGATCAGAAACTTGTATAAATCCAAACTAACATGATACATGACATGTGTCCAGAAAGAAAAACAAGGTTCAGTACATAGAATGTCAGCTATAAAAGGATTGACTGGGAAAATTCAAAACAACTACCATACATATAATTAAAAACCCATCATAGTTCAAAAATTCCCACACAAGAAACATAACAATTGATTGCCAAAGTGTACACTGTTTGCTTGAAATATGTTCCTTTGTTGAAGATCAAGAAAAGAATCGACTTAGTGAAAGTGCAAGGCACTACAGAAGGCAAAGAATATCTGATATGTTCAAGCCTGCATGAACATCTTTACTGTGACAAAGTAATCTAAACAGTGTGTGTGTGAAGAAATTTTGTGAAGATTTAGAGCTCATATCAGAGAAAATGCAGATGGAACAAGCCATATTTAGACCAGGAAAAATCTAAAATACCTTTTCACATATGCAAAAGCAAACTCAAACACCTTGACCATTACAAGACCAATACTGTACTTACAAGAGATGGCTCACTCTTGTGAAAAAATAAAGAACTCTGAGAAAGAAAAGATTTAGGGGTGGTTGTGGATAGTAAACTGCCACCAGAGGATCACATCTAAGGTGTTGTGAGATGAGCCTACACTATGCTAGTAAACATAAAAATATATGGATAAAGAAATACTAAAGAAACTGTTCATGAAATTCATTCAACCAAAATTGGAATATAAAGCAATTGTGTTGTGCCCATATATCAAGAAGCATATCAATAAACTAGAAAGAGTGCAAAGACACACTACTAAATAGGCATTAAATATGTCAAAGCAGGAATATAGAAGAAAAAGATGTGGCAATAGTGGCAGATATCAACACAATTGAAAAGGAGGATTATTTTTAAGCCTGCAGCTTCAAGAAAAGGCCAGATTCAAACTAAAGAAACAAAGATGCCAATAAAACATACAAGCATAGCTCTCTTCCTGTAGCTACATTTAGCAAACTACATAAAGAATGACACCAAAATTTGTGAAATTTTGAAAGAACAGTAGAAAATCTATGTTTACCAGACCACCAACCAGAAGGCCTGGTCAGAGACCAAAGCCATGTGGGACAGTGATCCTCAAAATCTTCAAAAGGAAACCAAAAGTAGGTAAGCTAGCACCCTAATAGAAGATCCTTCCAACATTCTTTCATCAAATACAGGTAAGAAATGTTGTTGGAACAAAAGTGGTCATTTTTCAAGAGGTAATTGGACAAGTTCCAATATGAAATGCAAGACTAGCCAGGTTGTAATGGTGGACCTGTGAGTCACTGCAAACAACAGCCTAAATGATCAAGTTATCATCAGACAAGACCAAGCTTGGAGACTAGAAACTAGAAGACCTCTTCAACTGACTACAGGTAATATAGGTACAGGTCAATATATCAACTTACTATAACAATACCCGATTTCCTGATACCCTGTTTCGTAAGAGCACTTTCCTTTCTCGAGCAGTCCAGGTACATGCATAATCTTTCCAGATACAGGTAATTTGGTTTTTTTAAATGACGAATATTCTGAAGGTACTGTAGAGTAAAACATTTTCTAGAGATCTCCACAAAATTGTTTGATTACAGTTCGAGTACATCAGTCTCCAATTGTTCGAAACGAGGCAAAAATGTGTACTGTACTCTCTACACATTTTTGTATCCTGCAGCAACAGAATACAATTGAGAAGCAAACAAATTTTGAGGGAGTAATAGACAGTGGGGAGGGAGGAAGGTAGGATTGGAGACAGTGGGGAAGTAATAGACAGTGGGGAGGGAGTAATGGACAGTGGGGAGGGAGTAATGGACAGTGGGGGGGGAGTAATGGACAGTGGGGAGGGAGTAATGGACAGTGGGGAGGAAGGAATGCACAGCGGGAGAGCAATAGACAGGAGGAAGGAATAGACAATGAGAAAAGAAGAGAGGAACAGACAATGGGAAGGGAGGAATTAACAATGGGGGAGGAAGGAACAGACAGTGGGGACAAAGGGAGGAATAGACAATAGAGAGGGAGAGAGAAATACACAATGGGGAGGAAAGAATAGACAGTGGGAGGAATATATAGCAGGGAGGGAGAAAAGGGATAGACAGTGAAACCAGGGAGGGGGATAGACAGTGGGAAGGAAACAATACACAATGAATAGGGAGGGAGGAATGGAATGTGGCGAGGAAGACAAAAAAATAATGAGGAAAACGGCATTGCTGAAGGCAATGATGAAATGGTAAAGAATGCATAGGACAAAGTGGTGCCGTACCCACGGAAAGTACCACCAGTGATAGAAACGGTATAACAGCTGCCTTCCCCTCAGTTGTGCTTTGAAATGCAACCAAAACCAATAGTTTGATTACCTGCAATTGATTCACAAATATGCAGTGTTTTAGGCTACATGTTAATTAATAACTTAAAAAAAATGCACGGACAGGAAATATTATGCAAGAGAAAACTTTATACTCTTACCAAAACATAATACTATACAAACATAACAATACATCAAAGAAAAAGAACGAAAAATAATGATCTACTTATATAAGTTAACCATGCTCAAGTGATGAATGAAGGGGATATGATGCAAACCAAATGAATCTATAATCTGTGATGTACGAAGTACAGACGGCCAGTCTCACATTCACAGATTATATCACTTACTGAATGCTCTTGTATAACTCTTTGATCTTGGCTTGTATGGCAGGATTTCTTAATCTCACTATTTCAATAGCTCGACTCTGTAGCTCATTCTTGCGACCAGTTTTATTCTTGCCTGCGTATCCTAGGAGCATCTGAAGTTCTGAGACCCGAAAGGTCATCACCATTCTCTGTTGGAGAAGAAGTCTTGACGCATGAATACATGATTAATAAGCAATACTCATACTGCTTCTATGCTTTTTTTTGTAAGTACTGTACTGTATTTGTATCGCATTTATCAGACTAAGAAATAACAAACATGCAATTACAGTAGCCACAGTATGATGAAAAACTAACAAGACTCGTGCATCACGATGCACGAGAAATCCCCTCACCTCTTCCTATATGCATGAAAATTGTCAAAGAACAGAAACATTATAAAAGTGAAAATACGACCCTAGATGAGAAAATGGTTTAAAAGGAAACTAGCAAATATATGACTCTAAACCACATTTAACAAGTAGAAAATGAAGGGGTGACAAATAGACAAAAGGAGCATTATTTTATAAGAGCATAATTTCAGCACACACTCAGTTTAATGCAATGGTGAGAAACAAGGCACCTAGACTTCAAGCACACCACTCTATTTTACAAAGAATTTTAGGGAAAAAATGTGATGCATTCCAGGACCATGAATTTTATTACAAATTATAAGCACAGAACTGTACATTTTGTAAAATATTACGTTTTACTAACACACTGTACAGTATTTGAATTCGTATGGCCAGATCAAGCGAACAATACTCATCACAATTTAAACTAAAAATTGACGATGATTACTTTTAAAACGAACCCACTCTTTTCCACCCTCAAAACTGATTTGTTGGGTTAAAATTTTCAATACATAATTTGTTTAATTCTATTGAATCAATAATCAGTGAAACATGAGCACATTCATTCTCAAATTCAAGCTCATGGGATGGGCACTGAGTGAAAATGATCTCAGTCAAAATTAAAACTAGCCATACGATCTTTCTCAAAATAGGTTGTATGGCCTTCTTGTGCTCTAAACAGATTCTCTTGGGTAAGATTTTCTATTAAGTTCTTGGGTAATTCATTGATATCGATTGACTAACTCTTTGGCTACAGGAGACAGATCTACGAATGATCCATGACGTTACAAACCCCAAGCTGATCTGTTTGAATCAAATTTTAAGAGATCTTCAGTAATTAAAACAACAGTTTAGATTTAGAGGATATCACCATACGAGCTCATGTAAAATCCTTAAGTGATCAAAATTTTTGTCACGCATAAAAGTAGTTCATGCAAAATCTCCTCACATAAAACTGGGAGTGTACTGTGTATATAAATTGCAACATGAAACAGACAATATGTATTAATTCAAGGCTTAACAGATGTACAGCACTGATCTTTTATTACATCTAGTTTAATATTCAGTATTCTTTTATTGACAAAATATAACTAAGTGTTCAGGGGCCAGAAAAGTGTAAAATATGGTTTAAAGCTGCTAATATTCAAATGTGTCAGAGACTATAGATATAAAGTTAAGTAAACAGTACAGTACTAATAGAAATTTGGTTATTTCTTTAAGTTGTTGCATAAACTAAAACCTTCAACATTCCAAAGTTAAATGGCTAAAACCTTAGAACATATAGTTCAAATATGCTTATAGTTAAGCTTGCCTGAGGTTTCATTTTGAGGAGGATGAGAGTGCTGTAATGTAACTGATATGTAAGGACTATACAAGACTGTACTGTACTACAACAAGCAAATTGTCCTCTTGTCACAAATAAAGGGAATCTTTTTAAACTTTTAAGATTTCAGACAGTGGCAGAGGTAAAGAGATACAAGCTTTATTTGATACCAGAATAATAAACTTCTTATGCACGACTAATCCAATTGCCTTACCTTAAAAATATCAGAAGAAAGAATCCTAGATGAAAAGTTTAATATCACTAATATTTTTTTTTATTTGCATGTGTGTATGTCCTTGTGTGTGTGTGTGCATGTTTATAAGGTACTGGAGCCCTCCAAAATCTGTATTATACCATTACAAACCCACTTTAAATTCCCATTTCACAAGGTGAAATCTGAATTTTTAAACAGTGCTCTTATTTTGGCAATTATTAAAAACTCAGAATTTTTTGTCACTCAAAATGAAAATTAATTTACTACAGCACTAACAATTGTTTCCAGATACAGTAGCTTTAAAATGTAATCTAAGTAATAATAATGTAGTTAACATTCATACCCTAATTTTTCTAAAGCTCATTGGGCAAGTTTATTGAGCAAAATTTATGCTGTACTTCAACCTATCATTCAGACATCTACTGGACAATCTGACTATAGAAAGAATTTCACTCTCAACACCAGTATATTCCCCCCACCCAAGCCCCCCTGAACCTGTTCTACAAGGTAGGGCCATGCCCTTCTAACACTTTTGTGCTCCAGCGATGACAAACGTCGTCGTTCATTTTTCTCTTGATTCTACTCCGGTGACAACGTCCGGCATCACTCATTAAAATATTTGTTAAAAATTTGAATTTTATTCGATCAATCTAGGAGTGCTTTCAAAATGAGCACCTTCAGACTGTGCACAATTTGATACAAAAATGAAAGACGTAACATGAAAATTGATGTCAGAACACTGGAAAGATATAAATAATTTTGTGGTGATGAGCATTAAAAAGTGTTCATAAGTAAAAATATTTGTTAAAATTTTATTTATTGTTCTATTATTATGGGACTAGTTTTAAAATACGTGTCTTTTTATTGCAAACAATTTGATACCAAACTGAAGGACGTTGCATGAAAATTGATGTCATCAAACTGAACGAGTATATACAGTAGTCTGCAGGTGTGCCAATTGGTGCTCGTTCACGAGTAACTTGGCCAACTTTAGGCTCTGCTGTGGGACTCACTCCGGGCTTTTAGACCTTATATGCATATACCACTATAGAGAATTCTATTGCGAACACAATGATACCAAAACGAACGATGTAGCATGAGAAATAAGGTGAGAAAACTGAAACGAGTATATACATTTTACAGATTTTGCGCGCTCACGGGTAACTTTGCCGATTTTAGTCTTTATATTTTGTTATTGGTATTGCTTATATATATATTGCAGTTGTTATTGCTTATATTGGTCTTTCTACTTAGAGCATTTTATTGAGAATATTTTGATACCACAATGAAAAATGTAGCACAAAAACTAATGTTAGCAAACTGTATGTGTTTGTCTGGTGTATTGGGTGTAGCGGGTGTGGCAATGAGTGTGCTCTAGCGGGTAAGGCTTTGACGACTTTGGGGGTCGTTGCGGGTGAAGCGTGCCCATGTTGTATAATTTATATGCATATGTCTGTGTATGAAATTTTATTGCAACCACAGTGATACAAAAAAAAAAAACGTTGTCGAACAAGTTTGGACTTGATAAACCTGAACAGAGTAGCAACATGTGCTCGCTGTTTGGCGTGAACGACTAATTCAGAACGGCTTAGTTCTTTATTTGGTGCCGGCATCACGTTAGCTTTGACGACATGGTATACATATGTTCCTATAGAACATTTCATTGGCAACACATTGATTCCAAAATAAAACACTTACATCGAAAATGAAGGTTTGAAACATGAGAAGAGTATAAACTCTTCTATAAAGTATAAAGTAGTGGTATAGCGCATGTGCAGTTGTGTGTGCAGTAGCGGGTAACCCTTAGGCAACTTCCCACGGTCTTGTGGGTGGGGCGCGCCCATGATTTGTATTTTATATTCATATGTCCGTGTAGGGAATTTTATTGCGGTCACAGTGATACCAAAATTAACGATGTAGAACAATTCCGGGGTTGACAAACATTTAAAGAGCATGAACATTTCATCGCAGTTTGGCTCTCGCGGCTAACGATTGCCATAGTTTTTTATTTGGTGCGGATCTCACGTCGGCTTTGGAGAAATTTTATAGATATATTCCTCTAGAGCATTCTCTTGCGAACAAAATGATACCAAACTTAAATACATACATGGAAATTTAAGGCGAGCAGACCGAAAAGACTATAAACATTTAAGTGTTGCTGAGTGGTCGCCCGAAACAAACGACGCATACTGGGGAGTTACACAAGGACTGTCGGGCGCGCGAAAGTGCTAATAGTGTAAATGAACAAGGTCTATCAACTTTTCCATGTCAAAAACTCTTTCTTAAGTTCAAGATTTTCTATAAAATATCTTGGGACCTCATTCCAATTAAGGAAATATTGGTTCATAGCCATTTACGGAATAACATTATTGACACTTTCATTGAGCCAAATGTCAATCATCACTAAGCAAAGCTCATTGAAACTGCACTTTCAAAATAAAAAACCAGCTATGGGATTTCTTCCAAAATAGGCCTATTGACTTTAACCCCTATTCCCTTAAAGAAAGATTACTGTAATTTGGATGCAAAATGTTAATAAAAGTTAAATTTACATAAATATCTCCATATTTACTGGTTAGGGAACCTGTTGATGGGTGGCACACCCAGCCACATCTGTCAACACTAGTTTTGACTCTAGGCAGAGTACTCTAGTTTTGGCCTTAGATGTTCCTATGATTATTTCTTCACTTTTGTTCATTCGCTACAGTATTGTGAAGAATAACTAAATTTATGTACAGTAAATGTAATTTACAGAAGCATGGACTAGATCCATTACTAACTACTGTATAGTTATGAAAACTACATGAACATAAATGATATACATATCAAGAAATTATAATGAAATTTTAAACCATGACAATTACCGTGTCCGATTACTGCACAAATGTACTGGCATACAGTACATTTACGACAACAACCACATTTGCATAGTAAGCAACCATGAATTAATAGCAGGATTTTGTTCATGAGCGAAGGTAAACTCCACTACATCCAGATAGAGCTAATATATCCATATTAGCATCATTGGTATAAAACTCAGACAATAATGATTTAAATCAATGTATGATAACTGCATTACCCCGTAAATCAATGTGTGACGGTAATTGCACCTTGAGGGTTAAATGAAGATTTTATTTAAAAAAATTATTAACCCAATATAAACAGTATTTAATGAGAGAGAGGTCAATATTCAGTTCTGATTGCAAAACTCCTAACTCTCAAAACAATACATAACTAGCTACTGCACCTTTTTCAAACCAG